TGAAGTATAAAAAGAGGAGAATGATGGAGGCATGGAAAGAGTGGTCAAGTGGAAAGCTAAGAAAATGATATTTCAGTGATGGTCTGATATCTATTTTGAATCACCAAAAGTGGAGCCAGAATGTGTTTATCAAAGATATAATGATGAAATAATTCAGCTACAAGATATCTAGCTAAAATTAGACATGAAATTTTATCTATCTGGATGGATAGGAAAACCATTATCTTAGAGGTATAATAAAGAAAACATATAAAAGATACCAGTACAGGTGTAGGGACCTAAAGGAAGCCTGAGTCAAAGTTAACACCCACCCTAAAAGCCTTCTTTACTGTTTTGGTTTCTGAAAGAGTAAATGAAATGAGCCAAAAAGAAAGAAAAAAGCCCAGGATTATTCTAAGCTTGCTTTTATATGCTGCATGCACATCTCTGATATGATATGTTGTGGGTCATTTGAGGTTAGGAATTCAGAATCTTTATTGAGGAGGTGGTAATGATGGGATGCAGATGGAGAAATGGCAAAGGGGATGGATAGAATGCTGCTGGATGCAATCTCTCTGTTTTCTGCAATCAACAAAATTATTCTTGTATTTAGTATTCAGCTTCTTTGTTTTTAAAGACCAAAGTCTTATCTCCTTCAAGCTCTGAAACTTAATCGGAGATTTTTAGTTTTATGTCTTGGCTTGTACAGAGACATAAGATATTAATACAGGATGTGGACCTTGGTATCTTTATGAAAGCAAGCTGTGGCCTGTGAAAATATTTGCAACCTCATAAAGAATATATCTAGTGAGGAAAAGTAATCAAGATTTTATTTTTAGCATGCATTTGGCTTCACATTGAGTTGCAGAACCCTGATGTTTTCTGGCTTTTCCAGTGTTGTAGCAAGCAGAGGGGAAATTGGTGGTGGGAACAGCATGGAGTAGAAGGCACAAAGGACCATAGGTGCTAATCCCAGCTCTGATACTGGGTGACTGTAACCCTGGACAAGTCACTTTGCTTCACAGTTCCCTATCAGTAAAGAACAGGAGGTTAATGTTCATTAATACTTGCTTCTCTCATGTGAAATGCAAGGATTAGAAGAGCTGGTGTGTGTCCAAAGCATCCAACATGTGAGAGCTAAGTGCTCTTACAGCATCTTTTGTCCTAATATAGGTCCTCTCTGTATTATCCCAGCACACAGTGTGCATGCTGCCAGCCAGAGGCTGGGTCTTTCCTTTCACCTCCTTGCAATGCTCTTACAGAGCAGGTTTTCTTACGTTTTTATAATGGGAGGACTGGTGCTGTCAATCTCACGTAGACAGGATTTAAAACAAAACAAAACAAAACAAACAAAAAAAAAAAAAAAAAAACACACACACAAAAAAAACTTCATTCACCAGTAAGTTGCTTTTCATCTCTAAATGTAATAGGAGAATAGTTCTGGTTACTGTTCCAGGATTTTTACAATTTATTTGCTTGCTTCCTTAGAATAAATGGGAAAAGTAGTACTATAGTGAAATGAGAACCTGTCATATCTGGGAAAGATAAAAGGGAAAGGAAACTCAGGAAAATGCTTCTTAGTGTTTTTCAGCCCTAGAGGCTACGTGTTATTTACCTTCTCCTAGATCCTCCAAGAGCTGGCATTGGCATGCTTCCAATCCAGTAGTACTCTGCTAAAGTAAAGGATTTTAGACACTGATGTGAGCTCAGGAGATCAGGATTCTTTTCTGTACCATGGATTCAGGAAAGATGTAGTGTCTGTATGCCTTATTTTCCAGCCTCTGGAATAAAGTTCTTTCTTTCCTTTGCTTTTTCTGTTTGGCTTTTCAGATTGTTTATTCTCTTCTTCTGTGGAGTCACTTAGGCACACTCACACATACACAGATGGATAGATACAGATATACAGCACTTAGTGGGGTTTGTGTAAGCTGTGCAGTGATAGTTAGAACTGGTGCAACACTTGGAAATGTTTAAAACCCTCTTGCTGACCTGTTTGGAAATAACAAGTGTAACTACTACTGTGCTGTGTAATGTGCCAGCAGAACATTGGCTTGCACAGAGATGGAGGCAGGTGCTGAATTATGCCCTTGTTTAACAGAAAATGTTCTAGTTGGGGGCTATCCTGAAAAACCCATGTCGTACTAGAGGGAACAGAGTTGGCGGGTGACCAGCTGCAAATCTGAACTCAGGAATCCTAGCTGCAACATCGCCACATAGTCCTTGTGGAATGATTCCTACAGCATTTATTTCTTGCAGTCAGCCACGGGGGAATGTGTTTGTCGTCCTTCTCACTCATGTCACGTTGGGGGTTTTGTCAGATCAGAATGCATCGTCGCTGTGCTTCTGTACGTCCCTTGACTTGTCATAGGCACAAATCTTTTTCAAATGCTCTCCCCTGTTCATTTCCATTATTATATCTGGTGCTTCTAGGTGGCAAGCAAAAAATGAATAACCTTGTAAATGCTCCCTGTCTTTCAATTTGTTTTATTTTTCGTACAACATGTCAGTGCATTTTTGTTGAGTGTTTTTAATAAGATGAAGTTGATGAAAATAAATTGCTTTGCAGTTCCTGCTGTGGGTGACAGAAATGCTGGGTCTGTAATTTTCCAAAACTGCACATTTGAAACTAGTGTGGAGGGTGTTCTATATGCCTATATCAGCAATCATCTTTGTAATATACCTCCCAGAAAAGGAAAGCAGCTAGCAATTTGAATTTGGGGGGAAGATGCACTGCTGTATCCAGCTTCTGCTGGGCACAGTGACAGAGGGAACTGTCAAGGCAAGAATTTTAGGATTGATTCTGTGCCAGGCTTGGATCTGCCATTTTGGATAGTTAGCCACATCTGTCTCTAATATGAGACAGAGAATGAATTATATAGCAAACCCTCTTATGAGATTGTCTGCTAGCCAAGGCTTAGACAGCAAGGATAGGGACTTGACCATGTGGATATCCCAGTGCCTCTGGGATATCAGCATATCAGCTTTCTTTGGAGCATTTCAATGACTTACTCAAAAAATGTAATGTGGATACATGGTGATCTTCAGATTACTAAGGTGTACACAGTAGACAGTCTGGTAAGTACTCATCTGTCTTTGACAGAAGATAAGCCACATATTCCAAATGTGATTTTCAAGTTAAGATTTTTCTTTTTTTTACTCATTTTAATAAAAGGGGGAAAAGTCAGTATTACCATATTTCTTGTAAATCTTTATATTTTTATAAAAAATGCAGAAAATAAAAAATTCCCCAAAGTTTATAATTTCATTTTGTTATCCACTTTTTGTGCTTTTTTATACAATTTAATTGTAAGACAATATTAATGTCTGTCTTACTTCAGACTTTGCTGCATTTCTGTAAGTCAAGGAAGTGCCTTCTGCCTATGTTAGCAGGGAACTGCTACATGGAAGTTGCTCGGAAGCTGATGATTAAGCAGGAGCTCAGGTTCCACTTTTGCAACTTCAAGGCTAATGCTATTGTCATTAAGGCTGTTTTACTTTCCTCAGAACTTCTTTTAGGCCTTCTTCTGTCCTCTCTTTTTGGAAGCGTTGAAAACAGGAATAATTAGGACCCCAAATTCATAATGATCTTCTTCACCTTCCATTTCAAATTCAGAAATTTCCTCAGAGGTTGTGCTGCTTAAGGTAGAAAAGAGAGTTTTCTGGATTAGTTATTTTTCATTGTCCACTGAAATTTGAAGAGATGGATTAATACTGGTAGTAAAACTATCCTGCTGCAAAGCAGGATTGATTGTTCATAGTGCACATACAGTTCAGCCTGGTCTGCTGTGTTCTTGGGAGGCAGGGACTGAGCAGTACATTCAAAACTTGGGAAAGAACCTAATTCTTGTTTGCAGATTTTTTGGTGATGTCTTGCAAACAAATTGCCAAAGGTGTGAGTCCACCATTCACCTTTACACTGATGTTTATACTTGCTATTTCAGATTCTGGGTAAATTATCTCACTCTATTATTTCTTCATTCTGTATTAAAATGGTATGTGCCAGGCAGAAGCAAGGAGGCAGCACTAGGCCCCAAAATCACAGTGGAGATAGAAAAAGTTTATGGAACTTTCAAGCAATCCTCTTTCTTAGTCCATATTATATCTGCTTTGTTTTTAAGTGGTTCTGTTGATGGTGCTCCTGCCACTTTCCTGGAAAAACTGTTTCATTCCCACTATTAGGAAACATTTCCAGAGATTTATACTGTTTTCCTCTGTTTGGCTGCCTTTCATTTCCCCAACTTACAACAAGATGGTCTACCCATGGCAAGTTCTTTCCTTGCAGCAGGTTTCACTCTTTGCTCTATGACTGCCAGGAGTGCTATATGAGGCCTGGAGTTTCCTCTGTCACTCCTATGCCCCCTTTGTGCTGCATTTATTCACTCAGTGTCACATTTTTCAAATGCGAGTTGCAAGGACAGGAAGCTACTCCAGCAAATAACTGCTGTTCAGCAGCAAAAGCTGAACCTTTTATGTAGGCTGCACACGTGTAGGGTTTTTTTTTGTTTTAGTTTGGGGTTTTTTCCCCATAATTTACATGATTTACCTTTTTTTTTAACTCACTCTTATTTGTTGACATCTGTCTGAGTGCAGCTTTGCCACAGCTGTTTTATAAAAGAACTGTCAACTTGGTTAAAGGACCTGAGGCTTACTGGTACACAGTCTTGCTCCACTGTAGCTTTCAGACCTGCTGTGGAAGCTTATTCCTGATTATTCTCTTCTTTCCCTCCAGTCTTTTGACTAACTTTTTGCTTCTTAATTCTCTCTCGCTATGATATTGGACACTGAATTCAACAGTGTCAGGTCTGAAGCTTGCAGGACCCCTGTTTAAAATACTAATCACTCCTGATTTTAAAATTCTGATTCTCCTCCACTATTATTTCTGGAAGTGTTCTCCTTGACCATTATATAGAAGCATTGGTCTCCTTGACCATAAAAAGAAGTATTTCTGTACAACTGTGTGACTGTGAGGGAATTGCTATGATATGACATACTTACAAAATCCTGGCTTTGTTATTTTCTAGGTATTTGGTGCTAGAACATGTGTCAGGTGGGGAGCTCTTCGACTATCTCGTAAAAAAGGGAAGATTGACACCAAAAGAAGCCAGGAAGTTCTTCCGACAAATCATCTCTGCTTTAGACTTCTGCCATAGTCACTCAATATGGTGAGTACAGCCATTTCCACAGGAGTTACCTGTTACATGAAAGCACATAATAAAGGGATCTCACCTTGATATTTTTACTTACTAAGTTACTGATGTTGTAGAATTGTAAAAGCATTGGGTGAAATACTGATGTATATTTTAATTCTTGACCATCTATGAGACAGTGTACCAGTCACAGATAGACTTTTCATGGAGAAGGTTGTCTGTCATTTTTTACTGGAGGAGAATTCATTCACAGCTAGTGCTTTAAACAGAAAAACCAAAACTACCATGGAAAAACAGTTTCATTTCCATAATTTTACTAATAATTAAGAATTACATACACTATATCAAAATGAATCCCTGGAGAACCCTTGGACGATTGCAAATACAGCAGTCATTTTATGGCTTCCTTCATTTTTTGATAACCTGCTGCCTTTTGGCAACCTTCACTGAGTCCCTTCTGGGCATTTGAGTCACCATTGCCTTCAATTTCCTTTCCAGTAGGGAAGAATTGTCTTATACTTTCGAATTCCATCATACTATTTAACCATCAGGTGTGGTTTAACCTGTGATATCAGGTGGTATTTTAAATTGGACCAGTTTCTCCTTCATCTGCAGCAAGTTTAGATAATTTAAATTGTACTGAAATCAAGTTGATGTAATCAGTCTGAGCACAAGAGTTTCTGTATAGCTGCTGACCCATAACTGCCTGTTCCTTGCTCTCATAAATGCGTCTCCTTGCATTTAGATTGGCTGGGGGAGAACATCTACATTATGTCTGCCTGGCTGCTTCTCCATAGCCACAGCCAGCCATAGATCCCCCACTCCAGGAGGCCAAGGGCCATGGATAGATATAGCAGTAGCTGGATTTGCATAATCACTGTGTGGTTACTTCTCAGCAGCCATACAGGGATTTTCTGTACCCCCAGTTCTGTGCTGAAAACTCACAAACCAGATGGCCACAGCATACAAGGCTTCAGCAAAAATGGATGCTTAAATATTTAACTTGCTTTTTTAGCCCTCCCCCTACATCTCTGACTCATTTCAGCAGGAAATAGTAATCAGAAAGAAAGCATATTTCTAAATGCAAAGAAGAGCCTTTCTTGAGGATATATGGAGAAGAGTGTACTCTTAAAAGAAGAGACAGTTCAAAGGTGGTAGATCTGGGTGAGATGGTCCTGAGGACAATGTCTACCTGGTACAGGCAGGATTACGATAGTCAGAGAAATTCCCAGAGAGGCCAAGAGCAGGTTGCATGCCCTGACTAGAGGATCTAAATTTACTCTGTTGGCAGAGATGTCTGATCAGTTTTATTCTGTGAATTCTACAATTTTTCCTCCCTGCTAATAAACTGCACTGAGTGATCCTGACCATTTTAGAACCAGCATACAACCTTGATAGGTTGCAGAGCTGTTATGTTTTTATGTACACTGGGCAGTGTAACCACTGATGGATTGCATACGTACATGTTTCCGTTTCCTAGTCAGCTTAATACTTAGAAATCCAATCCAAGAAGACTCAAAAATGCATAAGTAGAACTGAAGAGAAATTATTTGCTCTTCCAAATGAATATTCTGCAGAAATCTGAATCTCCATTGGGATACTTTGTGCTAAAGAATGCATATATGCACATACATGCTAGTCCTTTGGGCTTGTGATGGATACCTCTTGATCTGGCAGACTTTAATAAACTGAGTGAGGGTCATGGTGAGTCTCATGTCAAATAGACAGGCAAGCACCTCTGCAGGTTTAAGAATATGTGAAATCTTCAAGGCAGAGTGCATTTCTCTCTTGAGGAATCCATTTTCCTCTGTTAAACATACTGCATTGTGGGCAGTAGTCTTGCTAATAAGTAAATCCCCTGTCTCCTTGCTAACTCCCACACGACTAGCATCTAGTGCTGAATAAGTCAGCAGTAAATCATAAGCTCTCCCTCCAGGTCACTCTGAGACTCGTGTGGTCTGTGTTATATTAGATTCTGTGTTGTATTCTAGGCAGTTATCAGAAAATCAGAGCATGCATAAATATATATTTGTGCATGTGTGTGAGTATAAAAGTTAATGTGCTTTCCTAAGCAATGAAGCCTGACCTTGTCCTGTCGTGGGGCAGTGAAATGACAAATCATCTCATCAGCCAGGTTATCCAGTTATGACCACGTTGAAAAATGAAGGCTTCTACTTTGGTTAATGACTAAATGTGTGTGCTTCTGACGTACTGGCAGAATAGATTGATGGCCTGCTGTCCCCAGCCCCATATCATTGTCCCATCTTCTTCCTGTACCTCCCAAAAGCACTGTGAAATACCTGTGGCTTACTTTCACAGGAGTGTGTAACCCCATTCAGCATTCACTGCTCAAAATGCACTGACGCACCAGGATTCCTGAATCAGAGATTTAGGAAGGATTCCCCAATTCTCCCATCAGTAAAAGGCTTTTGCTGCTACTGCGTGGAGAGATGACCTCTGTCTGAGAGGTGCTTTCAAACAAGCAGCTGAGAAACTGAAGTAGAATAGGTGTGGAGCTTGAGTCTGTGTGTCGTTTTAAAAATGCATGCGTTTTCTGTTCTTGTTCTATTTACTGGAAACAGTGGGGGAATATTTAATGTACCTCACTCTGTGGTGCAGTCACTTATTGGGTTTTGTGATATAGGTTGTCCACAGGGGAATGCTTGTAGGGTCCTCTGAGGACTTCTTTGTGTACATTACACTGTGCCAGGCTAGGGACCCACAGGCAACTGTGCAGCGAACAGACAGCACCATGCAGAGGTATCTCGTGGGATCTGCGCTACCTTGCTGCTTTGCTGGCAAGGCAGGCAGTTAGCTCAGTGATGCAGCATTATTGCTTCTACTTCCAGCTCTCCCTCTGTGCTTGCTCCGAGGGCTCTGCACTGCGCTGCAGTGCCTGGAGCAGACGCACTCGGCAGCGGTGCAAGAAATGGCAGAGGAACCCGATGTTCCTCGGACATCAGTTTAAGACCGTCCAAGCCTGGGAAGTTTTCTTTGGACAGAAGAGATGATGCTTGTTTTTTTTCCTAAGCTGCCGTTCACCTGATACTGGGTGTCTGCTTTCCTGAATTCAGGGCCTTTAAGATACCTCTGCTGGGTGCCCCAAATCAATAGTCCGTTTTGAGTGTCCTGCCCCCGTGCTGTGGGAGAGCTCTCGGCTAATTCAGTGCCGACTGTGTTTTCTGTCGGAAACAATGTGGGAGCACATATTGGGGGTAGGTCACAAATCCTCGCTTTCCTCGGGAAGAGCCTCTTTGATGTCGGTGTTGGGGATGCTGCAGCGGGAGCCGCGGGTGGGAGCGGAGGGAGGGCTGGGGGAGCCGCATTGGCTGGGCGTGACATCACCGGCGGGAGCGGGGATTGGCGCCGCGCGTCCTCCCGGCCCTGGGCTCCGGCTTTGGTCGGGATCATATTCGGTGTCTGCATCTCACAAGCTGACAAATAAAAATATGATTACAGAAAATGCCCCGTGGCAAACCTTATTATGGCTTCAGAGATAACAGATAATGCCAATTACTGCGCAGGGCAGTGGTGACATTGAGAGGAAATCCCCTGCGGTAATGAGCAGTGAGATGATTATTTCATTTTATTTTTATTTTGGTTGAGTTTCATTTTGTGGTTTTTTGGTGTTTTTGTTGTATTTTTTTTCCCTGAGCATACAGAAGAGGGGTTAAGGCAGGTTCTTTATGAATATTGATAAATGACAATTATGAGAGCCCTTTCTCCTTTCATTGCCTGGGGCTGTGCTTGTTTGAGTACACACAAGGAAGGCTCTTGCTGAAGTGTGTCTGTGTGTGCATGCGTAGGCATGGGGGTGTGTGACTTAAAGAGCTGAGGCAATGAATAAGAGCTTTGTTTGACTTTGCCTTGTGTTCTTCCCGTCAGTGCAGAGGGGGAAAAGCTCCTCATAAAATAACACATTCACATCAGTAGTGCCAAAATCTCTGGTATATTCCTGCAGGCAGGAGCTGTAGAGCGCTGTCAGTAAGGAAAGCATCCTTTTAGGGAGAAATCTGGGGTGTCTCTGAGAAACAGAGAAAGCTGAAGAGTGCCAGGTGCCATGTTCTGTCAGACAGTGCCACCCTCCTCATGACTCCCGCTCTGCCTTGCTTCATAAGGAGCATGCTGTGGTGTTCGGCAGGGAGGACCTGTCAAATGCTGAATACTGCAGCTGTTGGACGCTTTGAAATCGTGACTCAAGGCCTCCAAATGTTAAACTGGTCTAGAAATTGTGGAATTTAATAAGGTTGGTTGCCGTTTTGGGGTTTTTTTCTGGTCCTTGAGTGTTTAGGTTTTCGAGTTCTCTTTCAGGCTATCAGAAGTGAGAAAGGTACGTTTTTTCCCTGTTGAGAGTTGATATTCGCCAATCATTACCTGAATCCAGGAGTTTCAGATCTATGATCAAGATTCACTGTAAAACAGTGAGGAATTTTCAGATAACCCTTGTACAGGAAACTGGAGAAAACCCATCAAGTGTAGCAGCTGCAGTGCCAAAGGCAAAGTTACCAGCTCAGCTAAAGTCAGAGAACATGTATTTTTGTAAGTTTACTTCTTTATATAAGCCACCAGAGACTCAAAAATAGCATAGTCTTATTGTAAGCATAGCCAGGTAACATTCTCTGGCAAGTACAGCAGTGGTGATCAGACCTGCCCAGCTGTTCTGGCTTTGAAATGCGTGACTATATGTTTTGAGGGGAGGTTGGTAGGGAGAAACAATACGTTTTAATAGATTAATGGAAATGATTGTTAAAAAAGCAAGCAATGTTTTATGCATACAAATCATTCCCCAGGATTCTTGATATGTTTATAGATATTGTCCCTTTTCCTAGCTATAATTATATTTACGTGCTCTGCAGAATTCTGTGAAAACTTACTAAATTTGAGCATAGCAACCATGGCTGTAAACAAAGATTTTTCTGTAGGTAGATACAGGTTACGTGTTTGGATCTGATTTGCAGAAGCAGGAGAAAATAAGATTAAAGGCTTTTTCTGCTCATGAAATTCAAAATAATGCT